AGCATCTCCTGGCCCCTGGGAGATGGGTGAGCTTGGTGGGTGAGCTTGGCCCTGGGATGCTGAGGGAGATAGGGGGTGGCCATCCCCAGCATCTCCCTCCCTCCCTTGCAGGCACAACCTGCGGTTTTGGAATGCCGCCTTCTTCGACGCCGTGCACTGCGAGCGCAGGAAGCGGTCCCCCACCACCAGGTAGGACATGTCCCCGTGGGAAAAGGAGATGCCGTGTCCCCCCCAGCCCCCGGCGTTCCCCTCTGCCCCTAATGGCCCTAAGCATGACCCACCCCGGGGAAACGCTCTGCTTCCCACCCCTGAGTGCAAAGCTGGGCCATGGATTTGGGAGCAGGAAGGCGATGCGCATCCTCTTAGGGATCTGGGAGCGTGAAGGTTTTCTTGCTCCTTTTGCATGGTTTTTGCAAGCCCTAGAGGCACGTCCAGAAAACCCAGCTGGGGTTTAGGCTGTTGGTGCTCAGTTTGCAAGCAGGTCTGGGAAACGGTGCTTGGTGCAGCCCTTTCGGGGCGGGGAGGGGATGCCCTGGGTCCCGGCTGTCCCTGGGAGAGCCATGGAAGTGATGCCAGCACAGCGTAGGGGCCGACCCCGGACATCCAGCAAGGATGAGAGCTGGAGACGGCAGCGGGGGCAGCCCTGGGGGCTGGGCGGACAGGGGCTGCTCCTTTTGGAGGGTGGCTGTGTGTGGGGAGCTTCTGGGTGCCCGGGCATGGGGAGCCCATGGGGTGCAAGAGTGGGGGGGAGATGCTTGCCGGGCTCGTGCCCATCTCTTGCTCCACCACGGACCTGCTGTGAGGGCTTGAGCTCCTTTCTTGACTGCAGCCCCTCCCTCCGAAGCCGGACCGTCCCGCTGTGTGTCTGTGCAGCGCTTTGAGGCTCCGAGCTCTGGGGGTGAGAGTCGCTGGGCTCGCAGCATTTGAGCAGCCCCGTTTCTGAGCACTGGTGGCACTTCTGGAGGCAGCCAGCCCTCCTGCACCCTCCCCCAAACCTGAGCTGAGCCAAGGCCACCCTGGCTCGCACCATGGGATGCTCTGCAAGGCTCAGCGCACCGATCAATCTCTGCTTTCTCCTTTATTGCTTTTCTTTTTTTCCAAGCAAGCCACCGAAAGAACCTATTGAACAGTAATGAAACCATAACTGCATTTGCTTTGATTAAGCCCTAAATTAGCAGCAGCAAATGTCTCACGAGGTCATACGCCACCAGCAGCTGCTCTCTGCTCCGAGCACCTTTCTCAATTAATCTGGTGGCCGAGTCTGCCTCCGCCGCAGAAACAAGCCCGACTAACAAATGAGCTTTGGGAGCTGCAGCTCAGAGTACCCCGAGTATCTTGGGGGGGGGTTGGAAGGGGGCAGTGACCCCCGCCTCAGTCCTCCGGAGGGGGCAACGGAAGCCACTGGGTGAACTGGGATGCTCTTTGCTGCACTGAGGATTAAAATCCTTGGCTGGAGGGGTTGGTTGGCGAGGGCTGGCATCCCAACGGGCCGGGTTTGAAATGCTGGGGATGGTGCTTGACTGCGGCAGGGGTCTGCGGGGTCCGTGGCGACCGGTTTGTGATGGTGCCTATCTCGGCGGGGTGGCCAGGGCATCGCTGGGGCGGCCGAGCTGTGTCCTCCTGGGGCTGCAGTGAGAGCTGGGGAGGTTTTGTCTCCTCTCGGTGGGGAGGGCAGGGGATGGGAGGAAGGAACCAGAACTAAACTCCTCTTTTTCTCTCTCTTCCCTCTCTCTGCCTCTAACAACTTTCTTCCGTCTCTTCTTCTCTCCTTTCCCCTCCATCCCTCTATCTTGCATGATCTTTCACGCACCACTTTTGTCGGCCCCGTTTCTGCTGCCGCTCCAGAGGGAACGCTGGGGAGGAAGAGGAGAAGAGGTGTGTCTGTCCCCGTACTTCGGTGCATTAGTGTCCAGAGGCCGACGCTCACTTCAGGTCCAAATCCTGCCCTGGGGAGGGGGGTAGCACATTTCACGGGGGGTCCGAAAGGCCCTTCTCCACCGGGGAGGAATGGCTGATGGAGGTTTGATTCCATGAGCATCACCCTCTCAAAAGGGCCAGAAAGGTTGAGATTGGTTCCTCTTTAATGCGGCTTTCTAAAAAGAAAGCGACCAGTTTCAAGCTGTGATATTTTACTGGGGGAATTGGGTGCCCAGCTGCTGGGGAAGCTTGTGCTGGGAACGGTTCCTCGGGCAGGTTTTGGACACGAACTGAGCCTCTTCATGGAGAAAGCATCCCCCTCTCCTGTCCTTCCCGCTTGCTCCCGGCTTCTGCTGCCACGTAGTTGTGCCGAGGATCCTTTGCCGGCTGGAAAAGCTGGTCCTTCTATGGATTTTTAATGCACTCTTGTGCTGCCATACCTAGATAAAAAGAAAAATGCCAACGGGGCTGCATGTCACGATAGCAAGCGTGTCCTCTGGGTCGCGAAGCTCAAAAGCAGCCGCATCCACCCACGCTCCAAGCTGGGATCGGGGCGCGGGGAGCGGCATTGCTCTCTTGCTGGGGCGTGGGATATTCGATCTAGGAGCAAAGCTCTCGAAGCCACGGCGTTAGCAAGAGGATGAGGGCTCTTTGAAGCTTGGCAGTAAATCTTCCGCGTGGCTAAGGCATGCGCCGGCAACTGGGGAACTTAAACGTTGCTCAGGCAGAGCGTTGCTCAGGTTGGCTCTGCGGGGTGAAACGCAGCTGCTGAAAGACGAGCGATGCCGAGCGGCCACAGCCACGTCGCGCCGGCGTGGTTCTCGCCAGTGCCCGGCCGCGGCGAGGCTTTCCCGAGTCCCCTGAAATGCAGGCGGGGTGTTAGCACAGCCCGTGGGGTTACGCACCCCTGCGCCTGCCCTTGCCGGGCCGGTATTAAGATGAAAGCCTTTGAGTAGAGCCACATGTGGGCTTTCCCCCTTCCCAGGCACGTTATTCCTGAGTAACGAGCCAGAAGCACGGCGAATTTTTCTTGGGCACTTTGATATTTTTTTTTTTCTCCCCTTCCTCCCTCAAAAACATAAAAAGGCAGGAAAAAAATAGTTACAAACACGCTGCTTCTGAAAGCGGGCCAGTGAGATCTGTGAGGTTTTGCTTCCAGATTTCAAAGCCCCTTAATTTGAGTCTTCTCCTTCCTTCTCAGCCTCCAGATTTGGATGTGGTTTTTATTTGCTATCGTAAGCTTTATCTGGGAGAAATTACACCTTTGTTGGGTTGGTTTTTTTTTTTTTAATCCCTTTAAACATATCATATATAAGTTTTCCAGAGCCCTATAAATATAAGCGGCTCACCCCTGGAGACCGAAGGCTCAGCCCAGCAGCTTTTGCATGCCCGGGCTGGCTCGAGCGAGGACCAAGTCCCCTTGGTGGGGTCAGCCTGACTGCGCACTCATCCTTTTCCAGTTCCAGCAACACACATGGGTGCTGGGGCTGAGCTAAGCTCCCTGAATTTACTGCGTACACCCTTCCTCCCAGCCGCCGTCTTCACCCGACGCAGCTCCTCCCATCCCGCTTGGCGTGCCGGCGTGCGGTCCGCTCCCCGTGTTCTCTTCCTTCTCCTCCATAGAGCTATTTTTCTTCTACCTATCCCTGGTTTTCCTTGCTTTTCCTCCTCTTATCCTTGGCTGTAACCTCACCTGACTTCTTCTCGGAAGGGGGCTGCCTTCACCCTGGAGCTGTAGTTTCCCCGGCGTGCATGCACTGAGCCCCCTCTCCCCGCCACCACCCGAGCGTTGCACCACCATCGTGACATTTGCGTGACACAGGCTTTAATCCCAAAGACCTCTGAGTGGGACACCCGGGTGGGGGGCTCCTGCCACCACCCTAGAGCTGGGCGCAAACATCTTGAGCTTAAAACCCCTTCCTTTAAGGCAATGCTGCCGTTGCATTTGCCAAGGGAGCCGGAGCGGAGCCGGAGCATCCTCAGGGCAGTGCTGCGATTCCGGACTTCAGCCCCCAAGTGAGGCCGTGGGGAGGGGTGCGGGACCCCCCTCGTGCTGTCGGAGAGGGGGAGCTATGTTTGGGGAGCAGCTTGCTCGGGCCTCGGGGATTTGGAGCCCCGCTGCAGACAGGGGAGAGGAGCCTGGTAGGTGGGGGGGCTTCAGCAGAGCCCCGCTGCGACGGCTGTCCCCGAAAGCTGCAAACCCCTTTGCTTCCTCCCTCATCCCCCTTGCTGGAGTGATGGCACCGCAGGTGAGAGACGCCAGCTCTGTGCCGGAGGGGCCGATGCTAGTTCCTAGCTCTTAATCAGGGCCTTCAGGAGAAAGCCAAGGTTGAAGAAGACTTTTTTCCCTGAGTGTCCCTTGCTTTGCCCCGTCTGCAGATGGATGCCGGTGTGTGAGCTCGCCCAGCACCGCGGGCACGCCGGCAGCCGAGGGGCTCTGGATGCCCTCCTGTCCTCAGGCAGGGTGGCCCCGGGGAGCAGGGGGGTGCAGGCAGGGGGTTCCCTGGGGTGACGGCAGTGCCAGACGGGCTTGTGCCTTGCAGGGAGAAGTGGTGCCACATGACGCAGGAGGAGCGGGACGACAGCCTGCGCTTCAATGAGAACATCACCTTCGGGCAGCTGGGGTGAGCACGGCGAGTCCTCGCCAGCTGTGGGTGGGACACCTTGCAGATGTTCCCCCACTGGGGACATCCCTTATGGTATGGAGGATGCTTGGTGCTTTTCCCAGGAACTCCTGCCCTTTACGTTGCAAATCCAGGCTCTCCCACTGCTGAGCATTGTCCCAGCGCCTGGTACAAGAAGCTGCGGAGAGGAAGAGGAAGGTGGGGGGGGGGAAGAAAGGGCAGCCTGGCCCCTTCCCTCACCAAGAGCATCTCTGTCCTTCCTCAGCACCTTCATTCACAACATGCTGGCGTTCGGCCTGAACAAGAAGCTCTGCAGTGACTTTCTGAAGAAGCAGGCGACCATCGGCAATTTGGATGAAGGTAGGGGCGAGCTCGGGGGATGCGCACCCGCTTCGTGGCATCCCGGAGGGATGGAGCCCACCTGCCTGGCCAGGATGCTTCAGCACCCTCCCCAACACCCTTTTCTCTCCCCTCCGCAGAGCAATACAAGCTGCTCAGCGACCACATCGAGCAGATGGCCACCGAGTAGCCGCCTGGCTGGCACGGCGGCAGGGAGATGGTGGCCAGAGCAGGTGGGGAGGGGAGAGGAACACACCTCCAGGGCTACCTGAAACTGAAGCTGGGCTACTTAAAAAAAACCCCAGACAAACAAACAAAAATCACACAGACAAGCTGCAATAAAACCTGCATGATCGTCCGCCAAACTTTAGAGCTGCACCAGGGCAGCCTGTAGAAATAGAAGGCAAACAGCCATCCCCCTCCCTCGCCAGACCCTCCCGCATCTATTTTCAGAGTAGACAGTCCCAAAAGTGTATTTTGTCAGTTAAAAAAAAACCAAAACCAAACAAAAACCAAGAGAAAAGCAAAAAGAGAGCAACTGCTGCAGCCCCGGTGTGTTTATGGGAGCTGGATCCCTGTCTCCAGCCCCCCCCGTGAAACTCTACCTGCGGTCTTGGGTGTTTCATGGCACGATGGCAGCGGGTGCAGAGCTGCCCGATGTCTTTGCTGCTCGATGTCTTTCCGAGGCTGCCCTGGGTGGTGGTAAATCCGGAGGAATCCAAGGCTGCGACTCTCCTGCTGCTTTTCCCCGCTGGGCGAAGCACAAGGGAGGCTGGAGCTGGACCAGGGATGCGGGAGGTGATGGCAGGGACCGCATCCAGCTGTGGGGGCCGCATCCAGCCACCGAGGGAAGCCACTGCCGGGGGAAGCAGCCGCCTCTGCCTCCGCTTTCGCCCATCTCCCTCCGTAGCGAGGCACTGGGTGCTCGCAGCGCCTGGGTTTGTCCTGGAAATGCAGGAGCCGGCTGCTGAGGATGGTGATGGGATACAGCAGCCGACGGGAGGCTCTGGGTCAGTCTGGCAACAGGTTGTGTTGTGTTGTATATCCAGGGGTGTCACCGTCGGCCGGGGATGTGGGCAGTGCCGGGGCTCACTGGGAGCGGAGATAGGGCTGGCAAAGTGCTGCTGCCTTCCTCGGTATAAGGCTCCTTGGGAGCCGGAGGGAAATCCTTCCCTTGGGAAACCTTCCCTGTGCTGCCCAGGTGGTTTTGAACCTCTGGGCAGAGAGAAAACACAGTTTGCCCTGTATCATTAGCCTG